AAATTCATTCCTATGATTTCTACCATTTCTTTCATGTCTTCCGTTTCTTCAGAAGCATGAAATGGGGAGTCCCCTCCCCATGCAAAAAAATCTACTCAACACGAAAGCCTGCTTTTGTGTGCATCCAAACATGCCTCCTTGCCTTGGAAATACAGTGCATGTGTGGGAGGGTGTGCAGGAAGGCAAGGCCAGGGTTTGGCTGCAGGTGTGCTCCAGGCCTGCCTGCACTCTCCACCACACACACACTCTCAGAGAGTGTGGCAGCAAGGTGTGTGTGTCGGGTCAGGCAGGCCCAGAGCTCAGCTGCAGGTACACTCCAGGCCTGCCAGCATACCCCATCACACATACACTTTCGGAAAGTGTGGCGGAGTGTGTGTGGTGGAGTGTCCAGACAGGCCCAGAGTGTGCCTGCAGATGAGCGCCTCTAACTCTAGTGTATTTCTGTAAAATTTAAAATCACAAACCTGTAGATAGTTCATATTGCTGGTTTATATTATTCAGTTTTCCATACAGTACAATTCCAAGACCATTTCTGGGTTTTTTTATAATTTTTATTAATACATTGTAAAATTTAAAAGCTGTAGATGGCTTACAAACAAATCTTTCATTTTATGGATCTTTCTTTTTTTCCCATTGTGTCATTTGTGTTCTTCTTTTGTTGCTGTTCACCTTGACATCTCACCTTTTCTTTAAAAAGTAAAATTAAACAGATTTAAAACTGAGTTCCTTGCTTCCTCCCACCGCTGTCTCACTATTCTTACTTTTTTCTCTGTGCTGCTGTTCTTACACAAATAAGCTATTCTTCTGCCTAGGGAGATAACCTAAAGGTTATATTTGATTTGCCACTCTCATTTGATGTTTATATGTATGCTGTAGTGTAATTTTGTCTTTTGTGGTTTTAAAGTAGCCTTAGAAGTTGTCCTTTTTTCTTACTATGAAAGCATTATTTAATGCTGTGGTCATTTCTCATCTTGAGTATTGGAAGCACTTCTTTTTGTAATAACCCCTCTACATTTTGGACTGACAAATGCCATTCTATTCTTCTCTTGCACCTTTTTTCCCCCTTCTGACCTTTATTACATTTGTTTATAAAGGCCAAAGAAGATATCTAGTGGATTTCCCATATCTCTAAAGTAGGGTGGAAGCCTTAATTTTTACAACAGGATATCCATGCAAATGAGTGGAGGTAAACTCCACCTTGCTTTGTTAACTCTCTATAAACTTGTCATCTCAGCTACTTTTATTCTAGAAAATCATTCTCATATTATTCCCCCACCCCAATATTTAGCCTGCTTTGAGTAGTAGAAATGTCTAGATTAAGTTCCACAAGCTATTACTCCACTATAGGAATGCTATTGTTCTATTTTTAATTTCCATATTTGTGTGTCCATAGTTCATACCAACCTTCTATTTCTTTCCTTGCCTCTAATCATCCATTGCTAATGACTTTATATGTCAGAACCCAGACTACTTAAAGAGCCAGACTCAAGAATATGTCCAAAGGAATAGTTTACTGATACAAAACAAAAGAGACTCAGAGACACTTACTTCAGTGTCCCTGGTCAAAACTCAAAAGCAGCACCAAGTTTCAGCTTGAAAAACAAACTAAAGCAATAATCCGGATTATCTAGAGCAAAGATCTGGATTAAACTGAAGTGCTTTCAAAGTCACGCAAAACAACACAGCAAATGAAGGACGAACAAACAAAGAGCCATGAAGAAAGAGACATAGTCAATTGAAGTCCGAGGTCGAAGAAAGCCATGTCCGAAGTTGCGAGGTTCCAAAATCCACGTAGGCAGCATCGTCGTAAAAGCAGTCTGAAGTCAAGAAAGGGGAAATCCGCACTCGCGAGAATCCAAGCCGAGCTGTAACACGAATGGAAACAGCAACCTGCAGATCCAGGACCCAAGCCCAACACGAAAGCGGCAGCGACAAAACCCAAGGCATAAAACCAACACTTTACCTTCTGCAAAGTTCCTCCATTTCAGTGCCTACTTTTATCTTACACCTCATCATCCAATGATGAGCTGACCTCCACCCCATCATTATCTCCCACAGCTGTCCTTGCTTCTGCGTCTGAACGCCGACGCCCATTCCTCCAACTTTTCTACCTCTTGTCAAGACTTAGCTCTCCCCAAGACTCCACAGTATCTCCCGATTGCCAATCCCCACCACCAGAAAACCCCACAAACATGTCACTAGATGTTGGTTGAGTACATACATCTCAAATCTCTTGCACCTTGGTCCAATCCAGTGTGTCATCCCCTTCCCCATCACTTCCAGACCCATCACTCCCAGAGAAACCCATGAAAGACTCTGTGGGAGCTGTAAGTATATCTCGGATCTTCTTCCTCTGTCGCTCTTTATCCAATTCCTGCTCCCGAGTAACCCTCTTAGTTCCCCTATTCATATCAATTACATCTCCTTCCTCCTCCTCACTCATTGACCACTCATTGACCCTTCGCTATCACAAAACCCTTTGAAGGAATCTTTGTCGGTAGGTGACATAAGTATATCCTGGATCCTTTTCCTCTGCTGTTCCTCATCCAACTCTTGAGGACTCCTTTTCCCTCTTCTGACACCCATACTATCAGTTGCAGGTTTGCTAACAGGCTGTACTACAACATTATATGTATTGATTAAAATGTGCAACAAAGAATTTTGCTGCAGTCCTAGGCACCATTGTGTCTGTAGGCTTTTTATGCTGTGTTAATGGTTGGATTTTAATTGGTAGGAATTCACTACTGTATATGCTCATGTACAAGTCAACCTCATATATATGTTGAGTGCATATTTTGGGATGAAAATGATGTATTTTTATGTGACCTATGGATAAATCATTAATTTCACAGAGAGAGGAAAGTACAATGCTACTTTGGGGCCATCCACCCCTGGCCTTAATTGTCTGTTTCTCACCCAGGGATTCACAAAGGCCAAAACCAGTGCCAGAACAGAAAGACTTTGTGTGTTAATGTGTTTGTTAGGTTCTCTCAGGATAGACTAAATTCTTGCTTTTGCCACTCTACTTAGAGAATGGGATGGTTCCTTTTTTATATGAAGTAAGCACAGTACTTATGCGGACCTGTGGATAAGTTGTTGTAGTAGAGTCTGTGAGTAACATTACAAACAGTAGTATGGGTGCCAGAAGGGGAAAAAGGGTTACTCGGGAGCAGGAATCTGATGATGAGCAGCAGAGAAAGAGGATCCGGGACATACTTACAGCACCTACAGATGAGGAGTCATTTGAGGGATTTGCTGGGGATGTTGCAGACAGTAGTATGGGTGCCAGAAGGGGAAAAAGAGTTACTCYGGAGCAGGAATCTGATAATGAGCAGCAGAGAAAGAGGATCCAGGACATACTTACAGCACCTACAGATGAGGAATCGTTTGAGGGATTCTCAGGGGAAGGGGTTCCCATTTTGTGCTCCWGAATGAAATGAAATGAACYAAAGAATGGYTGAAATGGAAGAAATGGGTACGGTGCACACCTCTGATAGGCACACCTCTTCACTAAATAGAGCACAGGAAGACATTCACCTCTCAAATACATGCACATGCTGCTGTAAATACTTTTGCTCACTGTCTTACTGTTGCTTAAAATGTAAATAAGGCAGACAAGCTACTTATCAAATATCGTTGCTTGCATCAGTTATAGTTTGGCTGTTAGAGGGCTCATTTGGCTAGACATTGATTCTAACATGGTGAAAAATAGGAATCAATTCAAGTAGGGCAGTAGAAAATTTTGATCTTCCAGACATTTTGTATCTCACCTAAAGTTTCCTTACCATTGGCCATGCTTCTAGCTGACATCAGAAACATATAAGGGAGCAAAGGCTCAAAATTTATCATGTAAAGGAAAGCTATACAGATTTAGTGCACTGTTCCAGCCCCTCCTAGTCTCATTGAAACTCATCAATTGACATATGGCTAATGGTGATTGTATTTCAATTCTTCTTGTATTTTCAAAAACAGTTAGGAAAATATACCCTACCTGTGCCTGTTCCATCTGTATTTAGACTTATAAACTGTGTAGTTAATTATTTTAACAGTTTTAATGATTTTTCATGGTTTTTAACAACTTTTTTTCACAAATCTTTGATTAATGCTCTTTAATTATCTTCTAATGTTTATATGTTGATGATTTTCAATTGTTTTGTTTTTAATGTTGTGAGGTCCTTTGGATCTCTGAGAAAGGAATGAGGGATATAAATTCTTATTTTGATTCTTATTTAACTAATAATTTATTTTTAGTTTCAACTGTTGCTGAAGTCTGTTATTATCTGACACCACTTTTAACTTTACCAATTATTTCAATTTTATCTTGCTTTAACAGCCATACATTCTGGTATTTGTTGTTTAGAGCACTCTAGCAGTAAATTCTAAATATATTGTGACCTTATACTCATACTTGTAGTTTCTGCTTGCATCAAACCAAATATGTCCTCTCTAGGAAGTTCTCAGAAACATATCCCTATTATCATCCTACTGTTTTTTAAGAGAACTGTTAATCCTGGTATTCCATAAAATGGAATCCCAGGTGTGTTCAAAGTGCCATGATTCAGTGATGTGAAAAAGACCCCCTAGACTGATGTGGATACATTTTTTACTTTCGAAGTTCTAAGCAGTAGACTACAAATAACATGATAGAAGATATAGGGATTTTCTTTCATGCAAGTACAACTAAACAATGGTTTACCATTAGGTGCAAATGTAGCCTCTTTGTTATTATAGATATAATTTGGGTTAAGTAAGATATACATGAAGGCATTTCTTTGGTAGACTCTTGTGATCAAAGCTGTGTGCATATTAATTCAAATTTGTCTGTTGTCAGTATACAGTCTCATCCAAAATTACAGAAGGTCTTCTGTAGCACTGCTGTTTGAGATTCCTTACCCAAAGGGATTGAAGCCAGGAAATGTGATTTACTTTGGAACTAATATCTCTCCTGTTCCACAGCACAGATTTTCCTAAGTTCAATTTCTCATTTTTTTCCTTCCTAGATATTTCATTGATCACAACACTGAAGAAGATAGATATTTCACCGTTGATGCAAATACAGGAACCATTAAAACTGCCAAGGTTTTTGACAGAGAAGAAACCCCTTGGTACAACATCACAGTCACTGCTTCGGAAATTGGTAAGTAACGAGCTCCCTCAAATTAAAAACCCATATCACGCTGGCACACAAAAATGATTGCTGAGAGGGAAAGAACAAATCTTGATGATTTTATTTCAGAAGCTCATACATTGTATTAATAAGGCTTGGAGAAATAGATTATTGTGACTTCTGGCACAAACAGACGTGACCCAGGTCTCTCAGGATACAACTTAGTTTGTGATGTGCTTCTTGCCTCAAGAACATAAATTTTAGTGTAAAATAGCTTTTAAAATAGGGAAAACATGTTTATGCTGTCTATTTTAAAATAGCAAATACATTAAAATCTCATTTTCATATACAATTCTTGTGCATATTTTTTAATATACTGCATTTCTTTCAGAGATGGGACAGAATAAAATTTTAGTGAATCCCTATGAAACCGATTTGGACTAGAAATCGATGATCTCACCTGTGCTGAAATTTACTCAAGATAGTTATTTTGTTTACTTTTTGATATTTATACCCTTCCTTTCTTACCTCTTACAATTCAGTTGATATATGTGAAGTTTCTCTAATAATATCCCTGGGACAAGGTCTCAAATATGCTCTAGGCCTCCAACCATGCATACACACTCACACACACTTCACCCCAAAGTCATCTGCTCCATCATCCCAAGTAGCAAGGAGTTGTGTGGAGACCAAGCAGCAAATAAATTGCCACCCATCACTGCCCACTCCATGCTCTTCCAGTGAAGAAAGTGAAAAATTAAGGATCCCTCAAATAAGGGAATAGCGATGAGAATAAAGCAGAAAGCTAGCTATAGGCTGTGCCTTGCCTGCACTCAACCCACCACTCCTTGCAACCAAACCTAACATTTCACAACTCGATTGCCTTTTTTACCACCTGGTCACTTGAAAAAAAGAATCCAAGAAACTTGTGAATGGGGAGCTAGTAGGCATGGTTAGATTCGGTCAGAATCTTCATAATTCGGAATAAACTCAGAAAGACTTGCTTTTTGAAGCGATTTTGAAGTTTTTAAGGAAACCGGAAGTCCCTTTGCCCTTCTGAAGCTTTTTCTGCCATTTCTGTTATGAAGCAGTAAGTGAGTTGGAAATGATTCAGCTTTCCCCTCCTTCTGGTCCCTGGCCTCGGTTCAACCCTGGGAAGCCTTTTAAACCATAGTGGATGAATTTCCTCCCTCGCTTCTGTCTCAAGCCTAGGAAGCATTTTAATCCAGAGTGGATGAATTTCCTCCCTCTCCTCTCCCCTTGCGTCTGTCTCAAGCCTGGGAAGCGTTTTAAACCAGAGTGGATGAATTTCCTCCCTCTCCCCTTGCTTCTGTCTCAAGCCTGGGGAGCATTTTAAACCAGAGTGGATGAATGTCTTTCTTTTGCTTCCCCCTCCCTCCTGCTTCTGGAGTAAAACAACTACTTTCAAAGTAAAGACCACCCAATGAAACAGGAAATAACCCTTTCAAACCATTAAAGAAGGATTTGGAAGTCTCAGAAGTTTCAAAAAGCTTTGAACATTTTTTCCTGTGAAAATAGGAATTGACTTTAGAAGCAAACCACCAGTGCCCACTACATCCGAAACAACTTTTGAACCTTTTAAAAAAATCAAACAAGCCTAGTGGCTAGGCCTTAAATCACCTCTGGCTCTGCCACATAATGTGTTGCATCTTGGCACTTCTCACCAGATTCAGCAGCAACTGCCTTTTGTCTATGGAGACCACAAAATCATTCCCTTTTATGCAGCACCATTCACTGCACAGGTCCAGGTACATAATGTTTTCAATTTAACTGTTGGAGATGGCTGATTTTTTTTTGGTTCATTTGGCGTCTTTGGGTAAGATGTTGCCAAAATTAGCAAATGTCATCATAAATATCTTTGGAACTTCATAAAAATTCTTGATGGTAATGAACAATAATAAGAAATATCACACATTGTCTTAGTACAACTGCAATAACATTGTGAAGTCAGTTGATGTGGCGAGCTTGCCTAAGGCTAGTTAATGCATTCATGATGTTTAAACCATGAACTTCCTAGCTCACAACATAGACCTCATACTGCAGCAGCTCAAAGCTATGGATTGGGGTTGCCATTAAAATAAGGGATGTGACATTTAAAAGTAGTCTCACTGCAGTAAAGATTAAGACCCATATAACTATTTTTGGAGGTCTCTACTAATAACCTATGAAATTAAATGTCAAAAAGCTTCTTAAAATTTTATTAGGCCACTTAGCAATCAGAGTAAGTAAAATACAGTCAGAGGGAATAAATTGACTGATATCTGCTCTGTTTCAGTCTATAAATAAAAAGCCAGCTTGGAGTGTATCTTTTCCTTTCTAGAGTTTTTATTCATGTTCTTTATGTGTGTTTTCTTTCTGTGAAATGGGCTCAGGAAGGAATATTTTTTATTGAATTGCTTTCAGTTTCTCCCAGTTTTACATATAACTGGTATGCATGCTTTTCCTCCCTGCCTGAATTTCTAAATCCTATCAAACCATTAACTGAATGGCATTTACCCATGTTCTGGCTCCCTCTTAGTGATTGATTGGGTCAATTCCAGTTGGAACTAACCAACAGGATTTTAGCCAAAATTCTTTTGACACTTAGATAAGATAGACAGACACACTTAAACATCAAACTTTCTTCTCCTATGGAACTATTAGCAATATATGCTGCTCAATGATAGTGGGAGAGAAATTAAGACAAGGAAGTACCAGATCCTGAATGTGGGAGATTCAAAGATAAGGCTAAGGTAAGATTTGAAGAGCAGGGTAGCTGGTTTGGAAGAACTGTTGACTATGTGGAAAGAGGGAGAACGATCAATGCAAGTTGACAAGGATGGCCCCTATTAATCCTTTTATAAAATCCCAATTTATCACTCTTCTCACTTTCTGTTTCTGTCCTCAGCTTACTTAAATTGCTTGCAAACTGACTCCAAAATGCAAAGCAGTTTGAACTCCATTAACCCACCAGTGGGGAGAGATGAGATGGGGCAGAACACTGGGGGTGGACAGAGACCATTTGTAATTCTTTTGTTAACCTGGTAGGCTACTAGAGTGTGCTTCAGTCTACCCACAATAAAGATGTCATTTCTAGCTGTCATTTTGACTGATTTGGGAGTAATGGTTTTACTTTTGTGTCTATTTTGGAGATATCTGGGGGTGGGGTTAGAAAAGCAAACTCTTGCATTTTTAGGCAGTTTTGGAAGATATACGTGTCCCAACATCAACACAACTAAAAGGGGGGGGGGGACTGAGGGGCAGAGCTGAGGGATTTCAAGTGGCTGATGGACTGCACCTTGCCTACCTCTGCAGTAGACTCAGGCAAAACCAAATTATTGTAGTTTGTGTATTTTTCCTTATTAGTCTCATGTGCTATTTGGACCACAATCTGATGTCCTTGACCACACGCTTAGCAGTTTTCATCTATGAAATATTGGAATGTATGTGATTATTATATATAAATATTAGAGGTGTGCAAAATTTCAGGCAGAAATTAATAAGTTGCATAAATTCGTACATTAGCGTCTTTGGAGATTCTAGCAGGGGAATGCAGTTATCGTATACCTGTGACCAAAGACTGGAGATCTCAGTACACCCCTTCTTTACCTGAGGCATTGTGCTCTTCCACTGAGTGCACAGCTTTGGGAGGGAGGCACGTGGGGTGGTGAGGGAGGAAGGGGACACCCGCATAGCCAGCCAGATCAGCCGAATCAACCCTGGTGATCAATGGGGTGACAGATGTCACAGCCAGATCACCCTCATTCATACTAATGAACCGTACTTATTATTCAAAATTGAGCCCATCCCCAACTGAAACAAAATAGTCCACTTGGGATTCTGGAAAGAACATAATTACATTTTGTTAATATTTCTTTGATTTTTTTTAAAAAGTAGACCCAATGGGCTAAAAGGGAAAGGCGAAGGAGCTTCATCGCATGCTCTTTCTCAGCCAATTACAGTTTGGACTTCAAATTCCAGGATTCCCTACATTGGATGAAAATGGCAGCTGCATCTGATTTTGAGGGGGGGGGGTTCCCCTGTAAGCTGTGTTTTGTCTCCTCCTTTCAGTAGAAGGGAGGGTTTTTTTTTACAAAAATTCCTAAAAATCATTGGATCAGTGGATATTTCTGAAAAATATCAAGAATGATGTCGTATTCCTCTTCTCTCACTGTGAAGAAAATCCAGGGAGTACCTATTTTGGTTTTTATATCAAAAATAAGGGAAAAAATTAAAATCCCCTGGATTTCTGAAACTTGGGGGAGGGGAGGTGCCTGGTTATCTTTTGTGATTGTAGAGAAATTCAAGAAGAAAGCTCATGTAGTTTTTTTTTTAAAAAAAGTTGTTTGTAAAAACTTCAAAATTAAATATTGGGAGGATTAGAGTGATTAATATGTACTATAACTGTAGCAATTTTCATCCGGAAAGTCCTAAAACCAAGGGAGGGAGGAGCCCCTTTAGTGTCCCCATTGGTGTGAATGGGTGAATAACATAAGAAAAAACTAATGAAATTTTCAGAACTCTGTAATAGATCTGACATGAACCTTTTCAATTTTTTCAAAACACTTTAGAATCAAAACAGGGATCACACAAATTTTGTTAAGACAAACGAAGCAGTGTTTTTGGGTCATGTACACCTCTAATAAATATGCATATTCTATTTAAACTTTTATTACTTTGGGAAGAAATCAGATTTTTCCAAATGGTTTACTCTCTTTACTTCTTAAATCCCATGCTGCACCATAGTGCTTTCCATGCTCACTTAGTCAAAAGCAACTAAGGTAGCAAAATTGGGTGCATGTAAGCCGTAATTGCACTTTTAATAGTTGCAAGACTTGCAGGAAAAGATTGCTTGCAAATAGCACAGGTTAGGCTCCCCATCTTCAGAGATCCTATTTCTGTCTTATGTTCATGGCTATCAGACAAAGCAACTGCTTTGTAGTTCATTTATAAGGAACACCAATAACAATGTGATGAAATCAGGAAAATGACTTTTAGTTATTCCTGCTCCTTCTTTGGACTAACTAAAT